TCCACTTCTGCTCCAGCTCTCTACTATGGCCTGGGAAAGCAGTGGAAGATGGCCCAGGTCCTTGGCCCCTGCACCCATGTGGAGACCCAGAAGAAGCTCCTGGTTCCTGGCTTCAGATTGGTGCAGTTCCAGCCATTGCAGCCAACTGGGGACTGAACCAGCATGGAAGACCTCTCTCTCTCTCTCTGCCTCTCCTCTCTCTGTGTACTCTGACTTTCAAATAAATAAATAAATCTTTACAAAATTTTAAAATAGAAAAATAAACATAAAATTTTTATCACAGAATATACAGAAATGAATTATGAATTTGGCATGATTATGAAACATTACTGTCATCTATAATAATGCAGTTTGGTCTCTTGTCTTTCTGTTGCTATAGCAAAATATATTTGTTACATGAATTGAGTTGAAACTAAGCACAATATGCTACATTTTTGGGGTCATGTCTGAAACATTCTACACATAGATGATGTACTGAACAGTGTTTTAGTGCTACCTATGAAGTAAACTTAGCATTCTGCAAAGGAAGAGTTACCTAGTGCTGGAACACAAATCAGTTAAGTTTGTTTTCAAATTGTTAGAGTAATGGAGTTCTTAATACCTTTGAGAAGCTGAATTGGATTCTGGAATAGGATAAGGAATGTGTGGAGAAAAGAATCTACTGGAGGCTCATTTATTTTTTTAAGATTATTTATTTGAAAGGTGGACTTGCAGAGATTGGGAGAGACAGGGAGACAAAAGGTATATCTTCTACTGTTCATTCCCCAAATGCCCACAATGGCTGGGACTGGGCCAGGCCAAAGCCAGGAGCCTGGGACTCCATGGGTCTCCCACATTGGTGGAAGGGTCCAAATACTCAGGCCATTTTCACTGCTCTTTCAATCAGGTTAGCAGGGAACTAGATTGGAAGTGGAAGCAAGGACTCAAGTCCTCTGTTTACATGGGATGCCAGCATTGTGGTGGAGGCTTAGCCTGCTGGATCACAATTCTGGTGACTATTGCAGGTTCTGAAACAATCTCTAAGCATTTTTCTCAGTGAGTCACAAATGCAGATTGTACTGCAGACATTCCCAGGTTCTCTTTTTGGGCAAATAATTCCATTGCTTTCATTTAATTATGTATAATGTCATTTCAAATGTTTATCATTTGAATGTTTTGGGCAAGTATTTCCATTGCTTTCACTTTAATTAGGTATAATGTTATTTCAATTGTTTATCACTAGAATAATCATAGACAAGGGCAAAAGCTAATTTGTATTCTTTGTCTTACCTGTATTTTCTCTCTTACTTAAAAATATTTATTAGCTTGATAGAGAAAAAAGTTGATGGACTGAGAGATAGAGAGCTTTGACACTTAATTCACTTCCTAGATAACCATACCAAACAGGTGGGGCAGGACTGAAGCCAGGATTGAGGAATGGAATCTAGGCCTCCTTCATTGGTGACATCACCATTGCTTCCCCAGGTTTGCATTATCTGGGAGCTAGAAACTAGAGCTGGCATTGGAAATCACAGACACTCTGAGGTGGCATCATAAACAACACTAAGCTAAATGTCTGCCCTGTCTTTTAATATATTTTTCCTCTGACATATTGGAAATGATATGCATGGTGTTTTCCTGGAAATTGTTTTCTGTTCATTCCCATCGTAGTTTCACTGATGGTTTCTTGCCTTTTTTCTCAATGCTTCTACATACTTCTCCTTAACATTGCCCAGTCAAGAGTCAGTATTGCCCCTCTTCTAGCCTGCTGTGCAATTCCCCTTGACAGATGTGGCCTTTGTGATTTGAACCTCCTGTTTCCCTCCAGCTTGGGCATGTCTCACAGCCTGTAGATCATGGGTTTGACTCTGTTGAATGCTCCGTGGGCTTTCTAAACACTCACAAGTCTAATGTGAAACCATATCCTTCCTTTTTTCCTTCATATCCATACACAACTGTCAGTGTTTATTTTGTGACAGAGTTAACATGTTGACTGGAAGTGTATTATTATAGGTGATGACAGCATTTGAAGACCTGGCTGTGTACTTTACATGGGAGAATGGCAGAAAATGAACAATGCTCAGAAAATCCTGTACAGAGATGTGATGCTGGAGACCTACAGCAGCCTGTTCTCCTTGGGTGAGTGACACCCATCACATGCCCAGTGATAACATTTTCTTGCTATTTGACAAATAAGGGAACACTTTATAATGTTTAATATTGGGCAGGATTAGAATTGAGTCCATGAATAATCTGAATATCTACCATCTAACAAAAGATTCAAATTGGAACATTTGTTGCATAGCTCCTGAACCAAGCTGTAGTCCTTTAAATAACCCAAGATAGTGATTTTACAAAGTCTTACTTTGTTTCCATTAATAGGGCACTGCATTACCAAACCTGACTTGATCTTCAAGTTGGAGCGAGGAGAAGAGCCATGGATGGTGGATGAATGCTTGAATCAGAGCCTTTCAGGTCAGTCTGCACATAAGAGACAGGGAGGCCAAGGCAGAAAGTGTGCAGATGTTGACTGGTGTTCTTTCCATGAATTTTTCCAAGCCTTACTCCTGATGACAGCTGCTTTTGTGCATCAGACACAGGCATTTAGAGATACCAGTATCTTTCTAACTTTTGTTCTTAGTGAAGATGTTCTTTGATTAAAAAAAAAAATCCAGTCATTTTCTGATGTTACTAAGGCTTTTATCTAGGTTTGATACATTCCCCCAATTCTAACTTGTCCTTCTCTACACTTTCATACCTTTCCTTCATGCACTTATTAGTTCCTTCAGTGCTTGTTAATTAGGCAACATACAGAAACTTTTTTTTTTTATTTTTAGATTTTTTTTCTGTGTTTTTTTTTTTTTTTTTTGACAGGCAGAGTGGACAGTGAGAGAGACAGAGAGAAAGGTCTTCCTTTTGCCATTGGTTCACCCTCCAATGGCCACCATGGCTGGTGTGCTGTGGCTGGCACACCATGCTGATCCAAAGCCAGGAGCCAGGTGCTTCTCCTGGTCTCCCATGCGGTGCAGGGCCCAAGGACCTGGGCCATCCTCCACTGCACTCCTGGGCCACAGCAGAGATCTGGCCTGGAAGAGGGGCAACTGGGACAAAATCCAGCACCCCACCAGCTAGAACCTGGTGTGCTGGTGCCGCAGGCAGAGGATTAGCCTATTGAGCTGCCACCAGCTGTTTCTGTTTTTTTTTTTTTTTTTTTAAGATTATTTATTTGAAAGTCAGAGAGAGAGGAGGAGAGGCAGAGAGAGAAGAGAGGTCTTCCATCCACTGGTTCACTTCCCAATTGGCTGTCATGGCTGGGCTGTACTGATCTGAAGCTAGGAGCCAGAAGCTTCTTCCAGGTCTCCCATATGGGTACAGGGGCCAAGGACTTGGGCCATCTTCTACTGCTTTCCCAGGCCATAGCAGAGTGCTGGATCAGAAGTGGAGCACTAGGACTTAACTGGTGCCATAAGTGATGTTGGCACTGCAGGTGGTGGCTTTATGCTATGCCACAATGCCAGCCCCCAGAAACTTATTTCTAACTCATTGCTCAGATTGCGTTCCCACTCATGATTTTGCCCAGGCATAGAACTTGCTCAGGACTGAATCAATAAATGTGAACTCTCTCTTTCTTAGTCTCTTTCTTTTTTTTCCTCTGTGCCTCTCAAATAAATAAGAAATTATAGTCTGTTGGAAACATTTGAGGTGAGCCTACAGTTGGCAAACCTCTGTTTCAGTCTGTCTTTATTCTCTCTTCTGTCTCTCTGACTCTCACGTAGGTAAATAAGTAAATGCTTAAAAGATGGTCATGTGGCTGGCACTGTGGTGCAGTGAATTAACACCCTAGCATGAAGCACCAGCATCCCATATGGGCACCAGTTCGGGACCCAGTTGTCCACTTCCAATCCAGCTCTCGGCTATGGCCTGGGAAAGCAGTAGAGCATGGCCAAGTCCTTGGTCCCCTGCACCTGAGGGAGACCCAGAAGCAGCTCCTGGCTCCTGGCTTCAGATCAGCCACAGTTCTGGCCATTGTGGCCATAGGGGAGTGAACCATTGGATCAAGACCTTACTCTCTCTTTGCCTCTCCTCTCTCTGTGTAACCTCTGACTTTCAAATAAATAATAAATCTTTAAAATAAAAGATGGTCAGAGTAAGCCTCGTGCTGTGACATCAGAAATTATGAAGCTAGGAAGGACACTGTGGTGCAGTGTGTTAAAGCTCAGCCTGCAACACTAGCATGCATATGGTGCAGTTCAAGTCCCAGCTGGTCCCTTCTAATCCAGCTCTCTGCTAATGCACCTGAGGAAAGAGCAGAGGTGGCCCAATCCTTGGCCCCCTGTACCCATGTGGGAGACAAGAAAGACCTCCGGGCTCCTAACTTCATTTTGGCCAGCATGGTTGTGTTCCCATATGGGGAGTGAACCAGCAGATGGAAGACTTCTCTCTGTCCTCTCTCTATAATTTCTAGCTTCAAATAAGTAAATCTTTGAAAAAAAAAAAGAAATCCTAAACTAGGATGAACTTACATAAAACATGAACATAAGTGATCCTAGACTCACCAAGAAATACTGAGATTTTGAGGAACCAAGGTCAAGTAGCCTCTTGGGGTTATGTTGAGTGGCTCAGCTTTCTTTAAGGGTGGAGTTTGAAGTATGATTTCTCTCTTATTTTTCAGTATCATTGAAAAATAAGCAAACAAAAAGACAAGAAAAGCATAGGAAATGAAGCTTTCAGTGAAATAGGAGGCAACTGATCAAAAGCTCCAGAAATTCAAATTATCACACAGGAATGTTTCTAGAAAGAATTTAGAGGAGGTAACCAGCACTGATAATTTCAGAATGAGTTAGCAAAAACTTTTCAAAGATGAGCAATTCCCGGTTTGCAGAAACAAATTCTTCAAATGATTGGGAGTGTTTAACTCTAAAGTGGTATTTTGGGAATTTTCTGTACCTGTTGTCTTCTGAGAAGCTGAAGGTGTTGGGTGTCCTTAGGAATTTGGGGAAGCTGTCATAGAGTAGAGACAAAGTCATTTTTCATTTGAAAAATCCCACAAATGATGTTACCTAGGAAGACTGAGCATGAGACACTCATAGATTCAAATCCTACTCCTTAAATATTGTCCTGCTTAAAGTACAGGCACATTTCACTCTTCTCCACCTGCAAGTAAATGATCAGTAAACTTTTCATGTTATGGTTGAGATATCAGAGAAGCAAAAAGCACACAATTTTTATAAAAATAAACTGGAGAAAAAGCACAGGGAAAAAATGGTTGCTAGGTAGTGGGTGAATATTTTTATTAAATATTTGCCCATTCTTTAAAATATTTTATAGTTATTTCATCTTTGTGAAAGGCAGAGTGATAGTGAGAGAAGAGAGAGAGAGAAAGAGGTCCTCTATTAGCTCACTTCCCGATGCCTGCAATACTTAGGTCTAACTAGTCTGAAGCCAAAGCTCTAGAATTCCTCTAGTCTTCCCTGGTTTCTCACAGGTTCCCAGGCACATGAACCATTATCTGGTTCCTTCCAGTTTACATAGGCAGAGAGCTGTACTGAAAGCAGAGTAGCCAGGGCTCAAACTGACACTGTTTTGAGATGCAGGCATCCCACACATCATAGCACAAAAGTCATTCTACCATCCTTGACAAATTCCCATAGTAAAAAGGATCATGTTTGAACATTGGGAAACCTCATGGTATATTAATGTATTAAGGAGAAAACCATATAATGGTCACAAATAAGTACCTCATACTGATTTTGTGAACATCTTATGCCACTTGGATTACAAGTAACTTCATTCCCTTTACATGAGTATGGCAGGAGAAACAGTTACATGTGATTCAGTGACATGATTGCTTTTTTCTCATTTCAGTGGTCATGAAAAGGGATGACCTGATTAGGATCAACCAGGAAAGTCAGGACAAAAATCTGAATCAGGATTTTATGAAAAATAACAAGACATCAGCTCTCAAGGAATTGAATTAAGAAAACACTTAGTTTAAATTCAAGCCATGTTCCAACACTGATTATTAAAAAGGGAATCTATTCAGGATTGAAGCCTGAGGAATGCAATAAATGTCACACTGTGTATCCCCCAGTGGGCCTGATCAACTACAGGCTGGAGAGAAATTTGATAACACTAAGATACCTGGAAAATCTCTCCAGTTCTGTGAGCCTCTTAGCCAGCTTGACAATATTCACATCATGAAGCAGCCATTTGGACCCACTGGACAAGCAAAAGTCTTCACAAGAAAGATGTTCTGTAAATCTGAGAGGGTTCATATGGCAGAAAACTGTAATAAGTCAACTGTCACTTTTGGAAAAGCAACGCAAATAGAAAAAGCTATCCATGAAAATTCTAGCCTCAATATGCATCAACAAACTCACACAAGAAAGAAATTTTATAAGTACATTATGTATGTTGAACCTGTCATTCACCAGTCACATCTTGCAATAAACCAGAGACTAAATACAAGGGAAAAACTTTACACATGTAAACCTTGTGGAAAATCACTCAGTTTTAATTCACCTTCTGAATGTAATGACTGTGGAAAAGCCTTTAGACAAAGTCAGTCCTCAGGAAACATCAGCAAATCACACAGGGGAGAAACCTCATGAGTGTAGTGACTGTGGAAAAAGCCTTTAGACAAAAGTCAGTCCTCAGGAAAACATCAGCAAACTCACACAGGGGAGAAACCTCATGAATGTAGTGACTGTGGAAAAGCCTTACACAAAAGTCATACCTCATCAAGCATCAGCGATTCACCACAGGAGAGAAACTTTATAAATGCCTTGAATGTGGAAAGGCTTTCTGTGGAAGTCAGACCTCATAGTAACACCAGAGAATTCACACAGGGGAGAAACCTCATAAATGTAATGACTGTGGAAAAGCCTTTGCACGAAAGTCATCCCTCCTCATACATCAGCGACTTCACACAGGGGAGAAACCTCATGAATGTAATGTCTGTGGAAAAGCTTTTGGGACGCAAGTCAATCCTCATCATACACCAGCAAATTCACAGTGGGAGAAACCTCATAAATGTAATGACTGTGGAAAAGCCTTTGGACAAAGTCAGCCTCATGAAACCAGCGAATTCACACAGGGAGAAACCTCATAAATGTAATGACTGTGGAAAAGCTTTGGACAAAAGTCATCCTCATCATACACCAGCGAATTCACACAGGGAGAAACCTCATAAATGTAATGACTGTGGAAAAGCCTTTGGACAAAAGTCACACCTCTCATACATCGCGAAATTCACACAGGGAGAAACTCATAAATGTAATGACTGTGGAAAAGCCTTTGGACAAAAGTCAACCTCATCATACACCAGCATTCACACAGGGGAAACCTCATAAATGTAATGACTGTGGAAAAGCCTTTGGAAAGTCACCCTCATCATACACCAGCAATTCACACAGGGAGAAACCTCATAAATGTAATGACTGTGGAAAAGCCTTTGGACACAAGTCAGGCCTCAG